GTTAGGCTCTGGCCTTGAGGACAGTGGGACTCAGCAATGCTTTTAAGTGGGAAAAGTCGGTGTTGAATCCCATTTTCATTATTTCCTTTGCAAGAGAACTGATTGGCAAGGTAAATCCAGAGGGTCTTTTGAGGATGCACACTAGGATGAGGAGGGCTAGATACAGGATAAGGATGAGGGTACCAAAGAAAGGTGATGACCAGAGTGCCTGAAGAGTGCCGTGCATCTGTGGTATAGATTGTGGGGAGAATCATCCAGGACTCAGCAGCCTCAGTATCCCTGTGGGCCTGGGCTCTAGACAGAGCCCCAGAAGCGTCAAGCAGCTTCAGTCACTTCCCCCATGTGTAATCCATTCAATGGAAGCTCACAGCTTCTCAGCTCTTACAGGTGCTGACAGAGACATCACAATATTGTGAAATTAGACGCCCGAAGCTGACTTCATTACCAGCTTACCTGGCGACGTAGCAGCCGCCTTAGCACCGACAGTTGGGTGTGACAGAGCTAAAATTGAACTTGGCAATTACCGCTCTGGCGAGGTTCTCGCACTGTGAAAAGAAGGTTCCATGGAAATCAACCTTAGTAATCACAGGGTTTAAAATTAGTTTGTTACTATTAAGGCTGTACTGTCAGCAGAGGCTTTGTGAGGCAGGGGACGGGGTGGGGACATGGGCAGGGACAGGTACTGTGGGCACACCTGCTCTGGTGTTTTCCTTTTCAGTTAGCTCCAGGGTTGATGTTCAGGGATGCTATTGTTTCCTGCATGAATTGCCCCTTCTCCTGCCAATGCATCCTCAGCCTTGGCATTTTTGTTTTTTTTTTTTAATAGACATCAGGGGGCTTTCCTGAGTCTCTCTCTGTGGGATGTGATCCAGGGAGAGTTCCACTCTGGATCCATGATCATAGGAAAAGCCACGAGACATGGCTGAAGGTTCCTTATCCCTCTGTGGGATTTCTTTTCTGAAGTGCTCTCTCTCTCTCTCTCTCTCTCTCTCTCTCTCTCTCTCTGTGTGTGTGTGTGTGTGTGTGTGTGTGTGTGTGTGTATGTGTGTGTGCGCGCACTTTAGTGACTGAGCTACCTCCCTAGTGCCTTTCCTGAAGTTTTTGTGGATTGTCTCATTATGTCTCCATTTTGTAGATGAACACAGTGCAGGGCCATGTATGCTCACGACTGGTTCATAGTGGGTTGTGGAAAATCTCTGTAGAGTGGCCTGGCTGTGTGCGGGATCCTTGTGGAAGGGCAGACAGAAATTCAAATCTGCTTTGAGCCTCAGTTTCCTCACCTGTAAGACAGAGACTCGTGTCACTCAGGTGTCAGGGAGCCTTGTATGGGGGCCGTTCTTTACAGTGGTATTTATGAACCCCCTATTTTGTACCAGGCACCAGACCAGACTCTTCCCAGAGGTAATGCCTGCTTTGCATAGGTGAACTGGCCCCAGAGCCCCTTCCCCTCACTCTGGAAATGACCACACACCCCACACACACACCATGAGCTGTCTCTAGGGCCCTAGAGAGGAAGGCAGAAATGGAAATGTCTTCCCATCAGGCCACAGCCCCTCCACAGGAAGCTGAGTCATCTCTCTCTGTGTCTGTTTTGAACTCTAACCATCCAGCAGCTGAGTAATCTGAGAACCAAGTATCTAAAACAAAAATCGGGGGCCTCCAGGTGCCAGGCACCTCTCTAGTTCAGTGCCAGCTCTCCCCGCCTGCCCTGGGCGCCTTGGTCATGCATTCAATGCTAAGCTGAGAGCAATGGGCCTGGAATGGAGTCCACCCACCTTCTGAGGTGTCAAGGAAGCCTCAGCATTCAGCCTGCTGTGGTAGGGGGATACCCACCCCAGCCCTGTCCAGCCCTATTGCTGGCACTTTCCAGTTGTGTGAATCATGGCTGGGAAGCTCACTATCACCTTTGCACATGTATGGGGCCATATCCAGAAATCTGCCTCCCAGCAAGGGTGGTAGAATCCAGTCCCGAGATCTCCTTAGCCCCACAGAGCGATGCCATTCCCTGCAGATGGAGTGTCAGGAGAGTGAAGAGTGTGAGAACTTCCCGGAATTATCCCAGGTCAACCCACCTCAGCCTCTTCAAATGCACCCACTTTCTCTAACCAGATTGTCCTTGACAATTAGAACTAAGATTTCTTCTATTTACAATCTGCAAAAGCAGCCAGCATTAGGGGCCCCTGTCTATCATCCCAACACTTGGAAAGTGAAGGCAGGAAGAATTGTGAGTTTGAGACCAGCCTGGGCTACAGAGCGAGACTGTCTCAAAACAGACACCAAAACCAAAACAAAGCACAGCAAGATGGTGTGAAAGCACTGCGTGGCTGGGGACCCTCCTAATGAACCTTTCAGTATAGCAGCCAGTCTTTCACCCGAGAAACTCAGCTGTAGTGCCCGTAAGTGTCCTGAGCCTGTTTAAGGTGGCCTGAGCCTGGGCTAAGCTGTGGCATCTGCAGTAGGGTTTTGGTTTAGGATGTTTTTCATCTTACCATGGACTTACCAAGGTGTATTTCTGCAAGCCAAGGAGTGTACCCAGACTCTGCTCCTCCTTCAGATCCCTCTGAGAGTACATACATGTGTGTGCACATATACATAGAGGATAACTTGAGGTGTTGTTCCCAGGTGCTATCCACCTTCGTTTTTTTGTTTGTTTGTTTGTTTGTTTTTTGACACAGGGCCTCTCATTGGCGTGAAACTCACTGACTAGATTAATCTGGCTGGCCGATGAGCCCCAGGGATCTGTCTGTCTCTGCCTCTCCAGTGAGAGGTGGGTCTTATTAGCATGTAGGCCTGCACCCAGCTGTGACAGGTGGTTTCTAGGGATCAAGTTCACATACTCACGCTTTCTCCGCAAACATGTCATCAACTAAGCTATCTCCAGAACCCTGTATTCCATCTTGAATGACAGCTGAAGCCTTCACTCCATGGATTGCCCCAAGGGCCTTAGTTTGAATAGTCAAGATTTCTCACCTACACATGTAAGCAAGGATGAACAGTATCCTCTTCACTCCCTGCCTGAGCCTGGAACCCCTGACCCTCACAGAATAGTGGGTGGACAGAGAGAGCAGAAAATGTTTTGGAGGAATGAGAGAATGTCTGGTGAATGATGATAAGAGGATTTTTACCTTTGCTCTTTTTCTGGGACAATCACACATCAAACTTAGCATTGCCCCTGGTTGTTGAAGAGCACATTTACTGCTGCCTAGTTCGAAACAATGCTCCTTTCCATTTCAACAAATGCTGTTGACTTTTTCCTGACTGCATAAGATTTTATTGTACAGTAAGTTATGCTTAAAAAAAAAAAAACCCATCCTGTATCTGTGGTCTATATGGTCATTTCAATTGTATTATAAATAATGATACAATAACTATCCTTATATACATGAATTTGGACTTAGACAGTTTTTGCCACCTTAAGTTCATGTAAATATTCACGGATGGCTTCTTTTTTATTTTTATGTGTATTAGTAGTATTTTGACTGCATGTGTCTGTACCATGCATGTGCAGTGCCCATGGCGGCCGGAAGAGGGCACCAGATTGCCTGGAAGTACAGTTACAGATGTTTGTGAGCCACTATGGGGGTGCTGGGAATTGAACCTGGGTCCTCTGGAAGAGCAGCCAATACTCCTAACCACTGAGCCATCTCTCCAGCCCTGACAGAAAGTTTCTTGTGGCACCCTTAAGCCTTAATACGCTTTAATATTCTCAGTACAGCTATGAAATTTCTATTGGTCTTTATAGTTCTTACTTCCTTTTCCTTCAGATGAACTCATTGTGTGTGGTATTGACCTTAGACCATGGTTGTGTGTGTTCTCTGTTTCGAGTGCCTACTAGGTATCAGGCCCTGTATAGAGGCTGGATCTAGAGATGACTAAGACAGAGAGTCCCAAGCATCTTGGAGATCAGAATGTCATGGGGGGAAGATAGACAGTAACACAGAAACATAACTGCCACAATAAGGAAGCATGCTGTGGGAATATGGCTCTGTGCTGGAGAGAGCAGAGGGGCTCCCTCAGAAAGGACGATCTTGGAGTGGGTGTGAAGGGTGGGGAGGGCTGGGGATGAGCATGGCAGGCAGAGGGAAAGGTGTGGATCACAGAAGCCAGACCCTGTCCATCCCCCTACCCCTCCACTGAAGCTCCCTCCTGCTCGCCCTGGGCACTGGCTCTGCTGTGTCCTGGCTCTTGTCTGTCACTTAGCTGATCATTGTTGCCAGTGCTGACTAATGGGATTCCCCAGAGCTCTTCTTTCTCAGGCCTGGTAACATGGTTAGCTCAGACAGCACCTAGTTTCTGTTGCTCTGGTATACCCCGCAAAACATCCCATTCGTGTAACAACACCAAGTACAGTTCATGGTATCTAGTAAGTACGAATGACCCCATTTTATAGATAGAGAAACTGAGGCTGAGGGAAGTCAGCTATCCCAGCTAGCAGAGCTAGAATTCGAACCCAGCTCCCTTCTTCTATCTTCTAGAGCCCATATTCTTTATGGAGCCCTAATTTAGCTGTGTTTGTGTGAAAGCTAATGAGATTACTAGGCAGTCCTTAGGGCCTGGGGCCTACACAGATCTAAGCCTCATTTCCTTGTGAGAGGTAACATTGGCTTCTTGGAGATTCCCATGTTTGTATTTTGTTTCATATGTAACATTTGTCTGTGCAAAAGAAAAGGGGGGGGGGGTAAGGACCATAGCAGCTAGTTCCTTCTAGTTCCTTCCTCAAGCTCTGTAGGTAACCACACCTAACAGCCTGGTGCCCTTGCAAATCCAAATGCAAATGCTTCCACCCAATGCATGCATGCACACATGTGTACATGCCACACACATAAACATGCATGCACAGGCAAACACATGCATGCACATACATGCACAGTTCATACTTCTATAAAAACAGGAGCATGCCCTTGGTTTTCTCTCCCAACCAGTTCCAAACTGGCTCCTGCAGATGAGCCCCCCCCCCCCCCCCCCCCCGTCCATAGAAGGATGTGTCTTGTGTATTCAGTCAGCTCTGGCTTCAGATGTTCATCCTGCCTCGGGTTTGCGTAATGTTCAGCATCCTCCAGCACGCCTGTGTGTGGGATGCAGGTATTGCCACAGAGTGGGTGCTCAGGAGTCCAATTGCTGAATGGAAGGTGTGCGGATTTGCACCTTGACAGGTGCTGCCAATTTGCTTTCTGAGGGGACTTCCAGTGCAGCAATTCCTCCCACCATGCCTCTGAAGCCAGGGGTGACTGAGAGCAAGGTTGCCTTCTCTTCTGCTCCCGGAGCCCTGTCGTGGTGCTTCAAACATGTGGGCCCAAACTGGGATAGAAGATGGATTTGGATCAAAGAGGTTAAATAACAGGTTTTTCCGTTTCACCTTGTAGGATCGGGATGTGGGGTGGGGGTGCCGGGCCTCCAGCCAATAGAGGACCAAGAGTCGTCGCGAGGGCTTATAAAGCTGCTATTTCTGGCATTTTTTTCTCTTTCTCTGCTGATTATGCAGCAGCATCTCGCAGAGGCTGTCGCAGACGCATTCTCTCCCTGCCTGGGCTTCTGTGGAATGAGGCTCAGGCTCCTTCTCTCAAGACACTGGTGCATTGCAGGTGCGTCTCTACAGAAGGTAAGCAGCGGTGCTGGCTGCTTCAGGGGTGGAGGCGCTCAGGCTCGCCCTGTGGGGCCAAGATGGGTGATGCTGGATCCTGGGTGGGGCCAGGCAGGAACTGGTGCCTGCCACATTCTGCAATGAGGATACTGTGCAGGGTCCAAGGACCTGGCAATGGCTCTTACCCTCTCATAAGGAATTCTGGTGGCATTGGGTCTGCTGAATAGGATTAGCCACCAGTCTCGAGGCCCAGGACACTCAGGAAGCATTCATTCTTTCATGTCTACATATATATATATATTTCTGTATCCATTCGTCTTGCATTCAGCTCATGCATAGCAGGCCTAGCCAGATGTAGGTGTTTGTGGGGTGAGGGTGGATTGGGAAGGAGGGGCCTTGCTGACTTAGACAAGAAGCAGCGAGAACAGCGATGGTGGCAGCCCATGATGTGGAAGGACCCAGAAGACACTGGGCTGCGGAGTGGGAAGGGGTCTTCTGAGAACGGGGTGCAGTGCGGCTACAGGTACCAGGAATAAAACTTCTCCTCTCGTTTAGTAAAGGCCACCTTTCCTCTCGTCTAGCAAGGATGCAGGAAACCAGCAGCTGGGATCTCCATGGCCACCCTTTTCGAGAAGAGAGGCGGTGACAAGGAAGGGAAGGCGTATAGTCACGGCCCCAAGGGCAAACGTACAGTGTAGCAGGTGAAAGAGGCTCCTGTCAGTGGCATTTGCCAGCAGCCCCTAGGGAGGTGGCTGAGCCGGGTGGGGTGGGGGTGGGGGTGGGGGGCTCATTGCTACTGACGGTGCTGTACTAGATCAGGAGGCCTGATCCTTCTGACTCTCTCATTTCCCACAGCCATTGTTGGGGATCTGGTTTTATGATTGTGCATCTCAGAAATGGAAGCTGACAGCTCAGGCCCATGTCGCCTCATGTGGAACATTAGGGGAACCAGCGAGGCCAGGAACCTGCATTCCTTATGCCTCTGAGAGCATCCTTCCTAGTCCCCATAGAGTCACAAAGAATTGTCTGAGACACCGGGTCCAGTACTGCCCAGGAAAGGTCTACAGCCAGCTGACCAAGGCAGAAATAGTTATGGGTGCCTGCCAAGCAATAGAGCTTGGGTTAGTGACCACTTTCAAATCCTAGCTTTGCCCTAAGAAGCCTGCGACATAACACGGGCTCTCAAAGCTGCCTGAGTCTTGGTGTCCACACCTGCAAAGTGGGCACAGGCACCTTCTGCAATGGTGTGTGCACATTGCTCATACTTGGCCTAGCAACTAGAAGGGCCTCCATCCATGCTGAATGGATGGATGGCCCAGGACAGCTCAGCTGGGGAGGAGGTCAGGAAGCCTGGTGGGGCACATGCTCTGGTGCAAGCATGCGGGGCCAGAGAATCTCCATGTGTGTCCAGAGTGGGATGCACTGTATCCTGTGTGGGACTGGCTGACAGAAATTGCTCTGGTCACCCCCATGGCTTCCCCTATGGGGAAGGGAGGACACTGTGGGACTTGCTGCTCCCTAGAACCAGAAGTGACCCTTAGCTGATGTCTTGTACAACTTCCTGAAGACTGGTAGGCAACCTGCTGTTACAGGGACAGGTGGCCAAGCCACCAGCTGTCACCTGTGTGTTGGGAGTCTGGGCTGGATACATGGAATGGCACTAGGAAGGGAGAGTGCTCAGTCCATGCAGACTTCCTGTCAGGGACAGAAGCGGAATGTAGATCTAGGACCTGGCTTGGAGTAAGTCTCTTTCCATGGGGTCACTGTGTAACCTCAGGCAGGTCACTTTACCTCTCTGATCCTAAGAATGGCAGGTTAAGACGATGACAAGGGACAACATATGCAAAGAGTTGTGTCGTGCTTCATGAATAAAAATGCCATCCCTTCCTAGGGAAAGGGACCCAGGAGCTTCGGATGGGGCTCAGTGTCTGCTGCAGACTGGCAGGAGGCATGTTCCCACTGAAGGCTTATATGAAGACGGAAGGTGGCCGGAGTGGGATTCCAGCCATTGTGTCATCCCTGGGCGAGATCCTTAGAGAAATAATTCTGGCTGGTCCCACCAACTGCTCCTGTCCTACCATGCTGGCACTCATTGGTGTGAGGGGTATTGTTAGGGTGGGCTCCTGCTAGAGAATAACTTCCTGAGACCCACAGGGTCCCCAATGCCCTTCTCAGCTGCCTTTTTGGGGGACTGACCTATTGTTACTGAGGTTAGATCCTCAGGTGGGATGCCATTGGAGGAGGCTGCCTATGTGACCCTACAAGGATCTGAAAAGAATCATAGGTGGGTGGATTCCTGCCTCTCTTGGGCTCTAGAGGCCATTTTCCAGGGAGGCTAGCACACCACACCAGAGTAGCAATTAGGGGAGTTAAGGCTTCCGTCTTTCTAGTTAGAAGGTCCATGCCACTCCTTTACCTCTGAAGAGCCACAGAGGCTCCGAGGCCGCTCATGAAGGGTATGAGTAGGGACTGTGCACCAGCACCCTGGAGGGCTCCTCCTGGAGGAAACGAGGTTGGAGGCTGCCCTCTCTCAACTCACCCCGCCATGCCTTCCATCTCACCCATCTTAGTGACGATTACTGCCCAATGGAAACTTAGGCACAGACCTAGACACAGCATGACCTCGTTTCCATGCTGCTGTAGCCTACCTGTTCACATTGCTGGCTGTCCTGTCAAAACTCCATCATCTGCTACCTGGGTGACTTGAGGAGCCTCCTGTCCTTAAGTTTCCCATTAGAATCCCTTCCCTGCAGTCAGCTCAGTGAACTGCTTGGTGTGTCTCCCTCCATGGACTCTCAGCAGCCGCTGACTGCCTCTCTGCACCACTGTGTCCCTCTCAAAGCTTCTCTTGCCTGCCTGGGGCTCATCCACCTCCACACTCGGATTTCTGCTTCCTCCAGGATCCTGTCTGTCATCCCCTAAAGCTCCTTCCCCAGCCAGGCTGCCCTGCCTCCTACTTCTTAAATCTTTAGTCTCCTTTAGTGTCCACAGTAGGGTTCCTTTAGACCCCCAGCTCCCGCTAATCTGCAGAGATGGCTAGGACACCAAAGCTTTGCCAAAGCCTCCTCTGATTGTCCCTCCATGCATGTAGTGGTCCCCTGAGGATCATTGTGAGGCTCTGGAGGGCCTCATCCAGGGATGATGCAACTCTGTTTTCCTACCTGCTAGTTGTTTCTGCTTGGGATACCCTTATACAGACAGGGTATGGAGAGAATGCCCTGCAATAGTAAGTCAGGCCCCATAGACAGCCCCCCCCCCTCAGAATCCCAGGTTGTGGTTTGATGTGGCTGTGTGGCCTAACCTCTCTGAGCTTGCAGTGTCATGAGGATCAACAAGATGGCATGTATCATACATCTCTTCTGCTCTCTGGGTGTAATTATTCCCTTAGGACACTTGGAACATTTAAGTGATCCCTTCCATTTGCTCCAAGCAGAGGAAACTTGAAGAGGGGTCAGGCACACTAACCTTCAGTGCCCCCACACAGAAGAATGTGCCACAGGACCCTAAACAGGGGCAAAAATAGCAGCCACCAGGGCACCCTGTGATGCGGAAGCCACAGAGGAAGCCACAGGCCAGGCGGATGCCAGCTGCCTCGCGGGGACGAGGTTCTTCAGATGTGCCGGCGAACCAGCCCTCACGCCTGCCCTTGCCTGCTCCTTCAACCACAGCATCAGATAAGCCCAGGGACAGCTGTTGGCTTCCTCTCCGGGGAGGGTAATCGCAGTACCATCTGTGGGCGTGCTTTGCCTCCCATCGTCTTTCTGGCCTCTACTCCATTCCCCTGCCTGCTCTGCCCACCTTCATGTCCTCTTGCTGACCAAGGCGGCACCTGCTCACTCCCATGTGCAGGGCTTGTAGTGGCTGATGAGCAGTGTAGATGCTCCAAGCTGGTAGCATCTTGGCTCCCTCCCTCCCTTCTTACCACTGTCCATCTTGCTGTAATTTCATCCTAAAAGTCCAGCTTGACTGCTTAAGTGGAATCGCCTCACCAGCTCACAGCCTTCCGATGTGCTGCGTGAGCCACTTGTTGATTCTGAGTATTGATGTTTTCTCCAGCTCAGGACAGTAAGCCCCAGTGGCCTCTGCTCACTGCTAATCCCTAGATACCCACAATGGCCAGGCACAAAGTAAATACTCAATAAGTATTCTTTCAGTCCATGGACACACATGGATATGGAGAACTATCAGGGCCATCAGAAGAGGCCCAAGCTGGGTTTGGTGTGTTTTCAGGAGCTTTAGGACTAAGGGATGGGCTCGTTTTCTTTGGGGACTTGGGCATCAGGAATTTATTAGCCTTGAGCACAAGTCCCTGTTGATCCTGAAGTAACAGATGTCTGGGTCTGAAGAGGGTTCTGGAATGCCATATGGTACCTTTCAAGAGTTGACTCTTAGAGTTCTTATGAGTTTGATTTGTCCATTTGCTTTTGAGAGAGGGTCTTGCTATGAAGTCCAGGCTGCCTTCAAACCCTCCATTCTCCTGCCTCAGCCCTCTATGTGCTGGGATCACAGGAGTGACACTGATCCTGGTCCATGAGTTCGGCTTTGAGACCACACTACTTGGGCTCGAATCCCAGCTCTCCCACTTCTCAGTTGTGCGACCATCCCCTCTACATCCGCATTCCAGTTTCCTTGACTGTTCATGAGTGATGATTCTGACCTTGACTGAGTAATTTGCAGGATTGTGTATCGGCTCTGTGAAGTCCTTGCCTTGTAGTAGATGGTCAGTAAGAGCCTGCTAACCCCACTCAGAGTGGATTATTAGCCTGGGTTATGCCTCAGTAGCAAACGGCCCCCAAACCTCAGTAATGTATCACAAGGATAATTAATTATTATTATTTTTTAGTACTAGATTCACACTCATTGCTCTCATTTTCTCCCTCCCACTCCTTTGTCTCAATAAGTAGTATGGTGTATTTTTGTGCCCCTCACATGTTCCGTGGCAATCAGCAGAGAAGTAGGTCTTAGGTTCTGTTTCACAGAGTCACTCAGGATGAAGGTTAGTCTCATCTCCCTCTAGA